CTCCGAATTTTTTCCAAACCAACTTCCACTTTCCAACTCTCAAATTCCCAAACTCCCGATCCACCACGAACCATCTCCCACCCTCCGACCCTCGAACTTTCCATTCTCCGGCATAATTTTTCCATCTAGCAAAACTCTACACACTTACCTACACCGCTCCACGTGAGAAATCACGATCTTCAGCCGCGAATTCGGATCGATTCTCTTTATCACAGGAAAACGTCGCCGTACGATTGTAACAGGTGGAACGTAAACTTCGTACTTAGCGTCTGGTAAATATTTGACCATGGCTGTAGCCGGCGGATACGTGGACGTTGGCCGACTTAGTCCTTGCTAGCAGAGGAACAACTAGCGCCACGCTGGACCGTACTCGCTTCTCACGCTCCTCTCTCCACTAATCGAATTCCCGCCGAATCGAAATCAGTGTCAAATACCCATAAACGCGACATAACGGTTTAACGTATACACGCAACACCGTCCCTTGTCCGTTGGAGCCGATCGATGGAACAACGTGGCCTGGTATCCTGCCACGAAATCGATACCGTTCGATCATTGTGAGGAATCAGCCGGTGTTTCGAGATCGTTTGCTTTCCAGCATGCTTCGCGGAGCAGTATTGCTGTCTGTTGGAATGCGAACGTGTTTTTAGCGTCATTTGTAAGTTGTTGAACGGAGGTTGGAGTTTATGGTGGAATTTCTGACGATTAAATTAGCTTTTTTGGTCGAGTTGGAGTTTTGGTCGGAGATACGAGAGATGGAAAATTAGAGGAATTTTTGGGATGTAATTGGGTGTGCAGTTTTGAGGTGGATGAGGTTACACTGGGTTATGCGAAGCTTCGAGCTTTTCTGGTTATGTGTGTGTGTGTGGTATGATGTTTCAGTTACTTATTTAAGTCGAAGTAGTGTACCGAATATATAAAAATTGTGTCACTTTCTGTTTTAAGTATAGGAGACCATTGATTATGATAATTAAGAATTCACTCTTTTCAGTAATTAAGTGAATATCGTAATATTAATAATGTAATATAATAATTAATATTGTTAGTAAATGGTAATTAAATATTATTTAATTATCATAATTCACTGTATTCTATTCAGGATACGTTGGTGGTTTTTGTTAGACACTCATTTCAGTCCACTGTCTTTAAAAAACTAGGGTAACGAAGTTGTATAATACTACTTTTAACTAAAATATCATTTCTTTCTTCATAAAGATTACACGAAATAACGAGATGCACAGAAGTTTTTAATTTTCGTAACAGAACTTCTCTTCACACTAAAAAGGAGATAATTTCGAAGACCAGAAAATAAGTATTTCATAAAAGAAAACTTTTCTCTGGGATGCATATAGCAACCGAGCAAGTATACTACGAGACAGCTGTCATGATCTGTCGGTACACCTCATTTTCCTCGATGTTTGCTGGATCCCGCCAGTTCGAGTCGCAGCAGCCGCGATTTTAACGATTCACAACATTTTCCACGCAGGAGAACGAGTGTTCTGGTGTTTCCGGCTGCTTTTTACACTCGCATTATCGCGTCATAATCCAGGTCGAGTGCTGACATTAAGGCGAACGAGAAGTTTACGATCCACCTGTTTCTTCACTTTCAAGTGGAGCCTCGAACCTTCGTTTTCGGCTGCCTACAGGTGCAACCGTGTCAGATTTCCATTTTGAAAATAATATACTACTGTAAAGTGAATATCTCTTTCAGTTTTGACGGTAGAGAAAATACTTTCAAATAATGTGCTGCTCTAAAGTTAATATTCCCTTCAATTGCGATGGTAGCAAAAATACTTCAAGTGCAATTTGAATGGTATCGAAGGACCTATGCGCTGTAAAGAATATTTTTGTCGCAAGGTCACTCTTTTAGAGTTTTCAAGATCCCAATTTTTTTGTTTTCGTTAATTTTTGTTTTTTGCATACTGTATTACACTTGAAATTAAAATGCGTGAGCTTGAGGGGACCTTTGACTCCCAAAATTAGAGTTAAGCGTGAAATTTAATTCCATGAAGTTCTCAAGCTTCCACTCTTTGGTACCACTCATATTGCATTTCAAATATTTTTTTTATCATTTACTGTGCTTGGCCGAGACATTCGGTATACGAAACAACGATAACGCGTTCAGAGATCCATTTCTTGCAGATTTCTTCACTCCCAAAATTAGAGTCAATTGTGAATTTTAATTCCATGGAGATCTCAAGCTTCCACTCTTTGGTACCAGCGCAAATTGCACCTAAAATATTTTTCTAACGTCGACTTCGTTTGGCCGAGACACTCGGTATACGAAACAACGATAACGCGTTCAGAGATCCATTTCTTGCAGATTTCTTCACTCCCAAAATTAGAGTCAATTGTGAATTTTAATTCCATGGAGATCTCAAGCTTCCACTCTTTGGTACCAGCGCAAATTGCACCTAAAATATTTTTCTAACGTCGACTTCGTTTGGCCGAGACACTCGGTATACGAAACAACGATAACGCGTTCAGAGATCCATATCTTGAAATTTTCTTTGACTCTCAAAATTAGAATCAATCGCGAAATTTAATTCCATGGAGATCTCAAGCTTCCACACTTCGATACCATCGCAAATTGCATCTAAAATATTTTTTCTATAATCACCTTCATTTCTGAGACACTCAGTGTACGAAACAACGATAACGCGTTCAGAGATCCATATCTTGAAATTTTCTTTGACTCCCAAAATTAGAATCAATCGCGAAATTTAATTCCATGGAGATCTCAAGCTTGAAAATTGCATCCAAAATATTTTCCTATCATCACAATTTAAACAAAACACCCTGTATACTTACGAAACAACGACAATGACCACAACCTTCGCAATACCCATTCAATCTCATCCCTCTTTCTCGTCACAATCGACCGATAGAGCCCGCGCGATGAAATTCACCGTATAATACTTTCCAGCTTTCGCATGCAATTGAAAGAACGAAGGGAGGATGGATGGAACCAATCGAACAGATGCAGATAACGCCGATCTTTCCTGTCTGTGCTTTAACGAACTCATAATAACCCGAGAGACTTGCGTAAGAATAAAGAGGGACGACGACGAGGAGGCGGTCCGGAAGGGATGATTGGGGTGGCGCAGTGTGGAGGGCTCGCGGGAAATTTTCATTTCGCTGGGAAAGTTTTCGCGGCCCATTGAAACTTTAAGGAGCTTTCGCGGAGCGGCAACTTCACGGTTGGCGTATGTTAATTTATGTGCGAACTGCATTACCGCCCCAGTAATGTATTCAGTATTCGCCTGAACAGAGCAGGAGGAGAATGGGTGAGCCGGTCGGGATTTCGGTCTATCTATCTCCGAATCTACCGCGTTTCTTCTTCTTCTCTCTCGCTGCATTCTATCCCTGGAGAAAGCTTCGAAGTTGATAGCGTCATTTGTGAAGTGGGCTTGATGGATCTCGCGACTGATGAAGGAGAGAGGAATCTTTCCATTTGTAACTTGTATTTTGTTCGAATTCGGGATAAAGAATTCTACAGGAAGTTGATGTGTGTTTGGGTTTGAATTACTGGGTGAGCGATTTTAAGGGAGAAATTGGGTTTGGTGTTGGCGATGCTTGTTTACTCGATGACTAATTTAGTTTCTTTAATTTAACAATTGCTTAACGCGTTAATTGCAGCTTCGTTGTTGTGTCTAAAGATGGAGGAGAGTAGCTGTGACGATTATGGTGAAACTTTGGCAGTTGTGTCACTGATGCACAGTTTTTCGAGATTCTATTATCTTTCTTGCAAATGCCTTTTGTCTTATAATTCTTCCAAGTGTTTATTCAAGTTTGCAGAACCTTGGAATTTCCCGTCACTTTCCCTATTTCTGTCTCTGTTTATTTCTACTTATTTGCTTCGCTTTTAGCAGCTCTCGAAGAAAGCATTTCTACAGTGCTTTAGTTTTTCCATCACGGAGTTAGCCACTGTGCTTCTGTTAAGTTTGAACAATAACACTACACAAACGCTCTCAATTTAGTTAAAAACTTGAAGAAACCAAACCTCATCACCACTCTCAATCTCAACAAATCTTTCAACAATCTCACCACAGCCACTGAAATCAATAAAATCCATCTAAATCACATCATCACCACGTGTTCACACTATAATCTCCAGCACTTTGTCCCAAAGACACTCTTCTTTCCCACCTGCAATATTCCCCACTAAATACTTCCTCCACACTTCCATCACTTGCCCAAACTTCCCTCCATCACACTAAAAACTCCAGCACACTCTGTCTTCTGCCAAACATCATAAGAAACTTCCATCCCCTCGTCACTATCACCAAATAACTCTAAACAATAGAACCATACAAACACAATTAACCCACAGCTCTCCCAATTCATTAAAAAAAGTTACAAACCCAACCTCTTCACCACTATCAATCTCGACAAATCTTTCAACAATCTCACCACAGCCACTGGTGTCAATAAACCTTCACGCTGCACAGGTTCACCAAGGGAGTCCCACGTTCACCAGCTTCTACCTGTTCTTCGCTGGCACGTCTCTCCTTACCATGTCGTGCACGTTGCTGTCGAGCGGTGTCTGGTGCTTTCTGGTCCGTCTGCCTGTGGTCCATCTGGTACACGGTCCTGCGGGGATCCTGGTGGCCCTGACCGGTTACACAGTTTCCACTAGCCTGCTCACGTTCCCTGCCTCATGCATCCTGTACAGCAAGCACAACGTGACTCAACGTCGACGCTCTATGCTCCAGGTAAGTCTGTCTTTTCCGCGGCTAATTAAGGAAACACCGCGATTACGTAAGAGTGCGAGATAATTGAAGGGCTTCCGGCCGGTTTACCGTCCACCTCTCTCCCCCGCCGCGCCACTCTGGGGAACGCCTCGACGAGAATTGGACGAGCTCACGCTGCGCACCGGAAGTCGAGGAGACGCGACCAGAGAGAGGAGGGAAAGTCCTCTCTCTCTCTTTCTGCCTGGATTCGTCGCCACGGTGGAAGTGATTCGGTAGGGTTTCGCGTTTTTGCGCGGATTTTTGGAGACATTGGAAGTTCGAAGGGGAGGATTGGTGATTTGGTAGAGAATTTAAGGTTTGGATTGTTTTTGGATTTTTGCGAATTTTTTTCGGGCGAAAATTGTGCTTTCTTTGCGACTTTATTGGAAGTCTGAAGGGAGAAGGATTGATGATTCACATCTGTGGACGAGAGCCACGAGAAGAAAAGCATCGAACTTCTAAAGAAACGTTAAAGTGCTAGATAGCCTCCCAAATTTACAACTGCTGCGAAGGACCGAATAATTTCCAGACCCGTGCCTGGAAAACGCCGTAAATCTAATAGAACGACTAAACAGATGGTTAGGAGTTCAGATTGTTTTTGGGATTTTTTGGAGTTGAAAATTGTGATTTCTTTGGGACTTGATTGGAAGTTTGAAGAGAGAAGGATTGATGATTAGGAAGAAAATTAAGGGTTGAGATTGTTTTTGGCATTTTTCGAATTGTTTGAAGGTAAAAATGTTGCTCTCTTTGGAACTCCTTTGTAATGCAATTTTCATCGCTCCGAAATTTGACAAATATTGGGAATGTGACGTGAATGGCGAGAATACAGGAAGTTTTGTAAACTGGACCGTATTTTAATTGGTCGATTTCAGTGAAAGGAAGAATTAATGGTTCACCTCTTTCCTGGAATTCTTACAAAATTCCGAGAATTAAAAATGATTTTCCTAATGAAACTGTTGGAACATGCGTTCAAAGTGCCTGCTCTACATAGTTAGACGGCGAGGCGGGGCGCGTAGCGTGTGCGTTGTTTTAGGTTCGTCCGGTGTGCGAGCACTGTTAAATCTACACTGTATATACATTCAAGTGCATTGAATAAACCTAGTATTAAGTAAGTATTGCACGCCTTTATCCACGGATCCAATAAATAACCCAACTGAAACTTCCATCAATTCAAAATTCAACAAGTACATCGTCTACGTTGGAATTTTTCGTTAAAGGAAGAATCGAAACTTTACCATCACCTGGAAATTTTGCAAATTTTTTCCCCGTTAAAAATTGTCCTCCGTGAAACTTCAATCGCTAAATCCACTGTATCTAAATTCGAAGAACATGGGAATTTCGCAAATTTCCGGACAGCGTTTTAATTGGACCGGTGGTTCGAATGGAAAAAGGGTAATTGTTTAAAGGCAGAGATATCGGAAAAGGATTTATCCATGGTGGAAATGGGGATCGAAAAATAG